CACAGTAGAAAAAGCATGACCCCAACAACATAAAAGCTCATCTTATAGATACATCCACATCTCGTTTGACCCTGCCATGTGCTTATAGTATCCACACCTGAGGGAAACCACTGAAATCCTCCCACTCTTCCCTTTTCCATGATTTTAATTGAGTCAAATGTCTTCGGAAAGGATTTCAAATGTCCTCAGATCTGGTAGAAACTGCTCTGAGATCAGTTAAAAAAAACCATGATGATAATTAAGCTCATAAGCTCTGGACCATGCAAGTAAAACTTTGGCTAAAAAACAAGCAAATGAAGCATTTCTCTCTCTCACACTCACACACACACACAGCCTAACCACAGGCCTCATATACTTCACAGACCCTGATAGTGGACGTGTTTTAGTTTAAGACCAAACTAAAATATCTTTCTGTTTTTACTTTTCACAATCAGATGCACATTCCTCTGTCGGGACGTTGCACCCAGCCTGGTTATTCCCTAAAAGTAAATTAAACTAGCCTCCCTTGGACTACATTTGACCCCAATAACAGGATAAAAAACATAAACGATGCAAGAAAACCACATAAACAAAACGTATATCACATGAATGCACATTTACACGTCTTCACCTCTTAATGGCAAACAAAAAAAGGCAGTATGAAGTAAGTACAGGCTTTACAGGATAACAGTGATGTGGTATTTGTTTGTAAAGGTTATCCAGGCCCAGCACCTTTCTGTGTGTTATGTGCATAGCTGTGGATGTGTAGCCATACATTTTCCTTACAGAGCGGGCCGTGCTAAGGCTCTGGGTTTTTTAGAGTAAAAGAGTTTCATTTGTAGCGTGCAGACTCATCTGTAGAGAGTCCATGAGTGTAGTCTGATTTAAAGACAACATAGAGATGGTGAGAAGGTAAGATACCTGCCGTTTGTTTGGGACGCTGCAGCTGAGTCTGAATGCCACACGAACACGTCGATATAAAGAAGGAACTGTAGTTTTTTTGGTTGTGTCAGACCTGATTTGTGTTAAACCTGATCTCTGACCGGCTGGAGCTCTGGGTGCAAAGAGGTCGTAGTTAGGGTCAAAAGGTCAGAAGCTGCTCAACATAAATCTCCCAGAAGCACAAACGAAGCTGGGACTTTTTCCGCTTATAGTGCCGTCAAATCTAAAACATTCATGCAAGAAATCCACAATCTGGACAGTAAAGGTTCACATATGTGTTGCCGTGCTTAAACAGTATGCTGTCCTCTTTCTATTCCTCTATACCCTTTATTTTTAAATGCACTAAAAACCAGCACCACCCTCCTGAAGTCAATGTTAAACCACGACTCAGATATCTTTAAAAATAACTCCACCTCCCGTTTCTTGTTGCAGATTTGTTCCTTTTATGTGTCGCTCTCAGAGGGTGTTGCTGCTTTTATGTACACACACTGATCTCAATTTGATAAACATATTTGGCTAAATTCATCATGTGACCACACCAATACAAAAACCATCCTTACTCAATAGCACCATATGAATATTGTTCCCAAATTATAAAGGGGTGAGGGATTAGTGGACATTAGTGTGTGTGTGGAAGCAGTGAGGTAGGGACACATCCCTTGTAACTGACTCCCTGCTGTAGAGGAAAACCCTGTGTGTGTGTGTGTGTGTGTGTGTGTGTGTGTGTGTGTGTGTGTGTGTGTGTGTGTGTGTGTGTGTGTGTGTGTGTGTGTGTGTGTGTGTGTGTGTGTGTGTGTGTGTGTGTGTGTGTGTGTGTGTGTGTGTGTGTGTGTGTGTGTGTGTGTGTGTGTATGTGTGTACACTAAGCACATCTCCTTGCGTCAGAGACTTGCATAGCTGCAGGACAGGAAGAGCAGTTGTCCGTTTGGCGGAGCCTTGGCCGACAACTGAAGGCAGTACTCGAGTTGCACCATAAATTCAAAGGGACAATCTGCCCTTATTGCACCATTAGTACGTGTGTGTGTGTGTGTGTGTTATATTTGCACCATATGAAGTGGGATTAGCAGCCAATTGACTCTGTAGCTCGAGTGTGTTGCACCATATGACCACTGCGGTTAATACTGCGCATTGCACATACTGAATCTAGCTTGCAGCAAATAAACTGATTTGTTTCGTTTTTTTTTTTTATTGGCTAGCACCACGGAAAAGTAGCGTAAGCTCATTGTCCATTCACAAACTTTATGGGATACGTCAACATTTTCAGGGTCCTTTTTTCAGCATTTAACTGCAAGAAGTTGTTGTCTTGACATTTTCTGTTCTGTTTAGGTTCCTAATGTCTTTTTCTCTTTTTAATGACGGTCACAAGAGGATTGAGAGATGTTTTCATATGGAAGAATACTTGACTTATAATAGACACTATTCATGGTTCTGTTGCATGCATTTTAAACTGTCCATCGAGTCTGATGTTATCGGTGCATTGTGATACTTGCTAACTGCTGGCCATTTGTCTAGAACAGTGCTTCTCAAAGTGTGTGAGCGCCCCCTAGTGGTCCGTGAGTATATTGGTAACATTTCACATTTGAAATAAATAAATACATTTCAGTTTTACGCACTCTCGCGGGAATATCTCCGCAATGGAGCGAGGTTAAGTTTCACTTTCGATTGCATGATATAGCCCAGCGCAACACCTTCATTACACATGTTCCCACATGTTTGTACCATTTTCAGGCGATTTGTAATCTGTTCTAGAAAAACGATGTGTTTTTTGATATTTGTGGAGTTAAGTGGTCCTTGGAATGAAAACATTTGAGAAACACTGGTCTAGAAGCTGTTCTGTTTAGGTTCCCAATGTCTTTTTCTCTTTTTAATGACGGTCACAAGAGGATTGAGATATGTTTTCATATGGAAGAATACTTGACTTATAATAGACACTATTCATGGTTCTGTTGCATGCATTTTAAACTGTCCATCGAGTCTGATTATGTTATCGGTGCATTGTGATACTTGCTAACTGCTGGCCATTTGTCTAGAAGCTGCAGCTGATACTGGACTTTGGATTTCCTTTGGATGTGTTTTCCTGTTTCGATGGCCTTGGCAGTTTTGACCCTACCTGTGTGTAAGTATTTGCAATTGTTATGTGGCTTTATAAATTGTTCTGTCAAGCAACTACTACGTTTTTGGAAGTCGTTTTTTTAACCTTCATTTTCTAGTTTTTTGGAAAGACAGAAGAGATTAAAGCTGCCTTCAAAAATGTTGACGTTCCCCTTTTAACTCTCCTTTACACTATCGCTTTCACCTGCTTGATCCTCAGCTTTAATAAGAAGCATGTGTGTGTTCATATTTTCTCACCGCAGCATGTGAAATATCTCATGGCTGGGTTTCACCTGCTCTACCTCCACCATGGGACTATGGGTGTAAAAACACCTTTCCGCCCGCCTGAAGACGTGCGACTTCAGGATCAACCTCTCTGCTGATAACTGATATATCTCGGCTCATTTGTTGTCGCCTGCCAATGTAACAGCTTGGATTACAGGGATAAACAAATGGAAAAACTCAATAATGAGCCATGCATCACAGCTCAGCCGTGGGTGGCTTTGGAGGAGTAGATTTTTGGACTTGTTACAGAGGCAAGTCATCGAGAGGGCTGTGACTATTAAAGCCCAAAAACTGTTTTATATCAGCTTCAGACGCGGCACCCTGTTAGCGTGGGACCAGCATGATAGAGACATCACGGAGAAATGTATATCACAAAGATTTAGTCTTGCATTTGTACATTTCCTATTTTTTTTCTAACCTCCAAGCACAGCAGGAAGATGGAGATAAGTTCCCTCCTGTATTCGGTGATGTTTATGATACAACCACACCATAGTAAGACTGAAAACATCAGCAGGCAGTAACACTTATTCCACGCACACGGGATGACGATGCCGCTGTGTTGTGGTTGGAAAGAGATTGGCACATTGACTAGTGTACATGTTTAGCAATAAGACCTGTAGCATTAGCATCATCTGTTCTCTCTAGCTCCGTGCTAACCCTTTAGCACACAGGGTGTTGAGAGAGTCAAATATCTCATCTATCGAACCATGTAGCCAATGCAGTGTACTTTGTATTTCAGGCAGGAAACCACTTGTTCTTTATCGATACTGTCATTGTTTTGAGTTGCGTGTAATTGAGCTATGGCAGCCTTTAAGCAACAGGATTATACTTTTTCTCTTATGGCGCGTTTCCACTGCAGGCCTCGCTCGGCCTCGCTCGGTTTGGTTAGGCCTTATTAGGCCCGGCTCACTTTAATGCTGCGCTTCCATTACAGTTTAGGAACTGGGGTAGTTACTATAGTAACGCAGTGTAGGCGGAGCCGTGACGTCATCTTCAATGAGCGCCCCAGAAAAACAACACAGCCGTTAGCTGTTAGCACTCAGAGCTCACAGCTCTTCATATCTGTTCAGAAACTAGACAACAGTTAAACAAGTACAAACCACAGACTGCCTGTGTCATGGTGAATACAGTCGCTGGTTTATTTATGTCTGTATAGGCCGTTGTTGTGAGTGTGGACGGTCGGAGCATATATAACGTTAGTCGATCTCCATTCAGAAAACACGCATTTTAAAAGGGTTGTTCGCCTGCCGTCTGTCTGCAGACTTGTCAAAGCATTAATTCATGGTTTTTACTAACCGGTATCAGTATGTTGTTACTTCGGCATCATTTTGAAACGTGTATTACAATTAAATCACAGTCAAATATGTTCATGTTGTTGTAGTTGTAGCCCCCTTGCCAGCGATTCTCTCTCTAGTTTAGCATACTCAGCCCGACTCAGCCTGGTTGTTCCTGGCCCTAGAACCACGATTTTATGGGGCCAGAAAAACTGTGAATTAGGACCCGCTAGCCGGTACTAGGGATGCCAGTGATTATTCGATTATTCGAATATTCGTTACAGTCTCCATAATCGAATATTATTTTTAAAAATCGATTTTATTTATATATTTTTATTATTATTTTTTTTTTTTTTTTGGCTTAGTTTCAACCAAAATATAGACTAATGCTAATAATACTAATAGTATTAATAATTGTAAATGGCCATTGGTCACACCACCAGTTTGCTTAACTGTAAACTTGGAGGAAGCCTGCGTGCAGAGCAGACTCGTCGGTCGAATAATCGATTATTATTCACCAGGGCTGCCGAATAATCGATTTTGATCATGGTCAGTTTCTGGCAACCCTAGCCGGTACTAGGCCAAGTGGAAACGCAACCAAAAACGGGCCCCGCACGGCTCGGCACGCTTAAAGCGAGCTACCCGCTGCAGTGGAAACGCGCCATAAGAGCTATTTAGTCAAATTTTGAGCTGCTTCAACTTCTCATATTCTCATTTTTAGTGTCGCTTAAGTGTTAGCATCATTTTAGGAGAGGAATTACTACGTTTTCCCAAAATGTGTCACTATTCTCTGAGCCCATGTTTAAATGCCAATTCCCGCTCTTTCTCCATCTTTCCCATCATGCTCTGCTACTTAACCAACCCCAATGCGTCCCGCGGTACATAGAAAACATCCCGATCTTCACATCGAAAATATATACACTACCTTTTGACGAGACTAAGAACATGTTCAGACTCTTTGTATTCTCCTGAAACCCGAGAAAGTGTGAGCGACGCAACGTAAACGGCATGAAAGGGTGAAACTGCGCTCATTTTTTAAAACTTCTTGTCGTTTTTTGATCACAGCGGAGAGAGCGAACGCGTGATACTAAACCAACGAGATGGACAGTGATTAGAGGGGAATAGAGACAGGAAGAGATGGACTCGCGCTGAAGCAGATCGCTGAGTCATGGCCGTGGGGAATGTGTTCGTGTGTGTGCATAAAAGTGTGATTGCTTTTGTGTTTGTGTGCTTACATCGTGCGTGCCTCTAAATCTCAACACCCACATGTCTTTTGATGTGTTAGAAGGAGGACTCGTACTGCAACAGTTCGTACATTAAGGGTCCGTCTCGGTATCGGATGCCCACTGCGGCCGGCGTGATGTACTGCAGGATGTTTATAGTCCTCCTCAGGCGCCTGTCTACGTAGTGAGCGTCCCACGCTGGGTAACGCTTCCTCGGCATGTCGATCTTTATCAGCGGGCCCTCTGGTTTGGAGGTGATGGGCGCCGATCTCACCTGGAAGACGGGAAGACACGACTCGGCCACTTCCTCTTCCGTGTCGGACTTGGTCATGTGAGCTGGGGTGGGCGGGGCGGTGGGAGGAGCTGATGGAGGCAAAGGGAGACCCCAGAGAAGCTGAGCGCAGCAGGAAGAGGCGGGACTCGGGTGGTGATGAGCGGTGGCCGGGTGCAGGAAGCCGTAGTAAAGCAGCATGACCAGGACACCACCAGCGAAGGTCAGGTAGACGCCGCACAACGCTGGGACCGCGTAGGAGTCGGTCAGCGCCGGGTCTCTGTAGGCGTACCTGAAGGATCAGAGCGACAACACTTCAGAGACATGTTTTGTATATATCTGAGACCTGTGATATATTGATGAAAAACAGTAGGGGAGCTTTAATGCAAAAAAGTACATAGGATCGGCTCTGACTCACCACAGCCCTGTGAGGATGGTGTTTTCTAACAGCACCACAATGTAGTACGTCACCATCCTGTGCCGAGTGCGTCCTTCCTTCACGTTGAACCAGCAGAAGATGTACACGATGCCCACCACCATGTTGAACAGCACCTCCTCCCACTTGGACATGCAGAAGTCGGTGCCTCCGTGCACCACCCAGAAGGCCATGGCGCACCAGTGCACCACCACGAAGATGCCGAAGTAGATGTGGAAGAGGGAGGCGAAGAGGGCGAGCGAGAGGACGCGAGACGAGATGGTGAAGAGGCGCCAGAAGAGGTGCAGGAGGGCGCCGCGATAACTCATGGAGCGCTGATCATCACGAGAGTCTCTCAGCAGCTTGTGGTAGGAGGCGAGGACCCAGGCCAGAGAGAGGAGGGAGCCCAGGGAGGAGATGCCTGCAGGGGGAAGAGGAGGATATTTGTCTCAATCAGAACCAAAGCTATTTGAATATGTTAGTAGCCATTTCACAGGCTAATCAACGATGGGCTTTTCAGTAGCTCTAATGCACAGGAACATCATTATTACGTTAGGGCTACTGTGTCTAACTTTGAGGTGCTTTAACTTCTCATATTGCATTTTAGAGTATGCTCACTCTCCCCTCACATAGTAAATGGAAAATACTTGGCTGAGAGATAAATGAGAGGATTAACACTCCTTTGTTTCCCCCCAGCTTTCGGTTGTTATGCAAAGCAAAACTAATCAACTCCATATTTATTGATGTTAAATAGTCCTCTTAATTAGTATAGCACTTTTTGAAACACAGCATGCTTTACAGAACTGGATGCGACAGTATTCAGTCAGAAAGAAACCTAAAATTACCAGAAAACTAAAAACCGATTTACTGAAAAAAAGGCTTTTCTGTAAATACATATTTTAGGGAGTGATATCAAAAGAAGCGGCTGTGTTTTGACTTGATGCCAAAACCCTCTCTGTCTCCATCTTTCCCATCATGCTGACGTGTTGTGTGTATTCGGGCGCATCTCGAAATAAATAGTGTGTGACAAGACATGTGGTAACGAAGCCTTATAATATGACATAGACGGGTTATTTGTATCGCATGCATGCACCCCCTGTACTTGTTACATATTTGCATGAAGCTGTCCCTCAAGTCCAGATCGATGAATATGACTAACACCACGGATGACTAATCTCCTGGAGGATGAATAAGGAGGAGGCTGGCACACCTATGATTGTGCTTTTCTGTCTAGAACAGCCCCATCTGCAGCCACACGTTACCGAGCATGACTTGTGCAAAGTGCTAATTACTGTTTGTGCAGCTGTTGATTTGGATGTGCTTTGTGTGCTGCACAAGTACCTGGTGTTTAATCAATTTCATTTAATACACAATGAATGTATATATAATATCCTGCTTGTATTTTGTTACTGCAACTTTCCAAATACTCTCTCGCTAATCATCCAAACTGATTAAAACTCTCAAAAAGGCACTAAAACATACTTGTTTTTACATTTTAAGAAACAAGGACAGTAATCATCCTTATAGTGAAAATAAAACAATGTATCCCAAATCATAGGGTATAAATAAAATAAATAAATAAATAAATAAAATATTTAAATGCATAAAATAAAAAATTAATAATAATAAAAAATAAATAAATAAAATATTTAAATGGATAAATTAAAAATTAATAAATAAAATATTTAAATGCATAAAATAAAAAATAAATAATAATAAAAAATGTATAAAAAATAAATAAATAAAATATTTAAATGCATAAATAAAAAATAGCAACATTTTTTTGTGTTACTGTAAATGTATATTTTCCACTTCTTTTATGCTAAATTATTTCTATTTGAGACGTTTACATATTGGATTGTTTATTTCAAGCCTTTTAATTCCTCCAATGCCTTTTTTATGCTGCTGCAACGCAAACATTGGGATCAATAAAGTACTTCTTATCTTAATGTGGGAGTTATCTCGTTGCACTGTCATCGCTCCTACCTCTGCTTTTACCACTCTTATTTATGTGTGTCTACTGCAGTGAAAGTAGCCAAAGACATTTCGTTGTACTTTGTATGATGACATTAATGATATTGTATTGTAACGCGCGCTCCACCCACACTGCAGCGTCTCGGCCCGGTTCTCCTGGATCATGATGCAGAGCTGCAGAACCAGCTGAGGCGCTGACTCCAGGAAGGTCTCCAGCAGCCGCAGCATGTTGACGTCGGCGTACTCGAACATCATCGCCCAGTACCAGCGCCGCTGATGCTCCTTCTGCCGCCGCGACATGATGCCCAGGTACAGCGTCCGGATGTACCTGCACAGGTGAGAGCACACATTCAAGCTTAACATGCCATTTCTCTCATTGTTTTCTGTCACACAATTATTTTCATTTTTGATTAATTTGCGAGGTTTCTATTCGAGAGGTTTTTGTCTAAAGTCGATGCCTTTAAATGTATTGTTTTGTCTAAACCCCAAACCATTCTCTTTTATATGATATACAGAAAAGCAGTAAATCTCCACATTTCATTTTCAACGATTTCTAGATAGTCAAAATTGTCCGCAATTTATTTTTCTATTGTTGCATCTCTTACTAATGTTCTCATTAATCCTTTACAAAAGACTTGATACACTTCATCTGATACCAAATTAGATTCAAAACAATGAGTTGATTCATCCAATAGACCAGTGGTTCCCAACCTGGGGGGCGCGCAGGGGGGGGGGGGGCCAGGCCTCAGATTATTTGAGGCCAAATATCATATTTAGACTTTTTTTTTTTTACATATAATTGTAACGCAATACATGATTGTCACTAAAAGCCTTGTCTCTACATTACAATAAAATATAAAAAATAATTGATCAATTAATTTTAATTAAAATTCAAGTTAGTATTAAAGGCATAAAAAGACAGAAATGTATAATTATTTCTATAGAAATGTTTCTTCTGCCGTAAAGTGTCCAAACCGGGCTTTTCTGGATAAGCGCATTTTTAAAACACAGTCATTGTCCATGCCGGCTTTCAGTTGGATTATTTGTCAGTTGCTCCGATCAGATCGGTCTCCTCCATTTTGTAGATTATTTACGACTTTTGAATCCACATAAACACATCGGCAAAATCCGGCTTACTTTGAGCGTGTGTTTTAAACAGTTTAATCCCTTTGTGAATTGTTTCCACTTCCACGCCGTCCTTTAATTTCTTCATTCAGCGGGAATCCAAATGAATGAATCCTGAGTCCAATAACCATCAAAGTCACTCCAATAGTGCTCCTTGACTACGCTTTCATCCTCCTTTAACACAATACTTCACATTCATCCAGTTTGTGACAGTAGTTGCAGCATTTTGAGACTTTGAAACTCTAATTACCGCTGTTCCAACAGGAGTCATTTGGGGGGGCTCTTGGGAGAAAAGGTTGGGAACCCCTGCAATAGACGATCAATTGAAAAATGTGTCTGCTACTTCTTTGATAATCTATTGTTTCTAGTAATTTTCTCATACACAAATACGAATCATTTGCTTTTGTTTATCACATTCAACATTGCCCTGTAAATTGGTGCGTCTGGTATGTCTGCTGGATAAGAAAAGCTATTTGAATACGCTATTATATAAATACAACAGAATGTCCTTCTTCGTGGACAAACAGACGTAACACATACATACTGAGTGTGCTTCTAGATGTGAGAGATAACAGGACATGTGGGTGGCATGTAGGCAGGGGTTTCAATACATGCCTGAGGGCACTTACAGAGTGTGTGTGTGTAATAGTAAGCACTCCTGCTGCCTCCCTGTGAGTGCATTACTACAGTACTACGTGCAAGGTGTCATCGCGTGTGTGCATGTGCTCCTGCATTATGCACGACTCTGCATGTACGTGAAACACACAAGCTTAATTCACAAAACATAAATAATGCACCGTCCATAGGAAATGCAGACATTTGCATGCACAGCTCTCACATCAGTCTTCATGTGATGCAGCGAGGGGAGAGAGGAGAGCTCTGATAGACACGGGGGCGATGTGAAAGCGTCACCAAAATAATTGAGAATACAAATAATTCAAGGGACTTTCAGTCGGTAGATGTTTGATCTTGTTCTGTATTTACTTTAATATTGTTGTTGTGTTTTCTGTAAAGCATTTTAAAGTGTATTATTATATATTATTATGTACTATCTCGCTAATCATGAAAATACGATTAAAACTCTCAAAAAGGCACTAAAATATACTTATTTTTTACATTTTAAGAAACAAATATCTTATTGAATCACTTAGTAATCATCCTTATAGTGAAAATACATTTGTTTTTAAAGAAGGTCATCCCAAATCATAGGGTGATGCATAAATCGAAAATAGCAACATCTTATATCCTTTAAATAAGGCTCTATTTTTCACTTCTCTACCACGATAGACACCATTATCCCTATAATACAAATTCTCCAGTATCATCTGATCATGGTGTGCTAAAAGATACTTGTCCTATCCCTACTTTGAACTACCTGAAGTGTGATTAAACACCTGGGTAAAGCTCTTGAACTCACCACAGAAAACCCCTCCCTTGCTATCACATTGCCTATCTGCACACAGAGGACACTCATAGCAACATTCACCTTGCTTTCCTTATCACAAGGTCAAGTGTCGGACTAGCATTGCTCAAATCCAGGAGCTAAGTGGCTCTGAGGAAAGACTCAGCAGATGTGGAGCAACAGTCCACCCTTCAGATTGTCTTTCTGCTTTTCTCTGGAGCACATTTGCAACTCGAGTGTGTGGGCGGATTAATGCGGAGGCCGGAGAAGTGCAGGCACGTAGGCTACCAATCACAAGAGGCTTATTAACGATCGAGTGGCTCAGTGAAGAAAGTTTCTGCTGTCTAAAAACTCTTCATCCTTCACATAGCTACTTTAGACTTCAATCTTATTCCTCGTGTTGCTTTAACGCTTGCATTTCCACAGGAACATCAATACGAAGCATCTCATCTTGTCTCATCGTATCTATCTTGTGTGGTTCTTTTTGTGCATGGCTTCGTCGTTGAAATCAACTAACGAAGAAATCAACAAAAACATTCTTCGGTTGATGTAGCCCTAGTTTTCTAACTGGATTTTTACGTAGGTGTTTCCATATGTTCAAGGTTCTTTATTGTCAAACTAACATAGCTACAGGGTAACTATGTCGTGTTAGGTCACAGGCTTCTCCAACAATGCAACACAATAATACAGATAAGCAGACAATATGAAAGTATACTATTTTAAAAGTAATACAAATGAAAAATAGTTCTAAAAAAAGTGAGAAAGTAGAATAGTGCAATACGAGTCTATATACAAGTTATTGGAATGATATAATAGATAAATAATGACTAAGCAGCAGATGAATGTTGTGAAATTGTTTCAGTTGTTTAACAGTCGGGGTGAAGCTGGCTCTGTGTCTGGTGGTATTAGTCCGGTTGCTGCGGTAACGCCTGCCAGGGTCGTTCCTCTTGTTCGGACATGTTGTTGAATTACCACTTAAGAGGGAAAGTTATCCGCCCTTGACTCCTTTGTTTTGACTCCCAGGGGTTTTTATTATCCTATTCTTCATATGTGTATGCCTCTAAACAAACCATTTCAAGCCAAATTAATGGATTATGTCGCCTGAAAATAAGTTACAAACACCAAAATGTGTCCTTGACTCAAGAACAATGACGGATAAATAACCAGGATAAACAAATCAGCTCGTTAAAAAAATCTGTAAACAGGAAGTCCTTGTTTTCAAATTCAGATGAAGGCGTTACTGTGGTGACCCTGACAGACACGTAATGTCTTTACATGGAGGGATGTGTTTTCAAACCATATGTAACGAATACAGTAGATCTTCCACTCGCTCTCTTCTCCTCCCCTCCCCCAGTTTACCCATTGTGAATGTGCAACCTCCCTCTCCATCCCCTCCTCCTCTCCTCGATCTGTCTCAATCCGGCCGTACCATTTCCTCAGCTGCAAACATCCCCACTCCCTCCTCCTTCTCCTTCATCCTCCTTCTCCTCTTCCTCCAGGCGGGAGAGTCAATTTTTCAGCACGGGGGGGGGGGGCAATAACTGGGTGGGGTGCATGGAGTTAGAGGAGAGAATTGTTTTGGTTTTAACCCTACAACCACAGAGCGGTCGAGTAGCACAGCAGGATGTAAACACACACACACACACACACACACACACACACACACACACACACACACACACACACACACACACACACACACACACACACACACACACACACACACACACACACACACACACACACACACACACACACACACACACACACACACACACTTTACTCTCCCTACTGCCCGCCCAGAGGGAAGTGGACACCATTAAGGAGTCTTCTTGGAGAAAGAGCGATGATGTGGAGAGAGAGTGAACACTGGAGCGATCGAGCTGCAACTAATGATCATTTTGTATTGCCGGTTGTTTCTCTATTATTTGTTCTGTCCATACAGTTTAGAAAATAGTGTAAGCATGTGGATCAGGGTTACAAAAAACCCCAAGATGACGTCTTTAAATTAAAGCTATAAGAGCATTTAACCGATAGTAGGGATAGAAATATATGTGTATACGAGCAAAATAGTCCATGTGTGTTTCTGTGTTCTCCCGCCAGAGCTTTTAGCAAAACAATTAGCACCTACCCTTGTCCAAGTGTGTGTGTGTGTGTGTGTGTGTGTATATGTGTGTGTGCGTGTTTGATTGTGTGTGTATGCGTGAGAGATATATCGATGAGTTGCAAAAAGGGCAGATGCTTTCCCTCTTTATACTCTCCATGCATGCTGACACTCATGGGAAGGGCTGTTACACCGCTTTCCCACGTGACACACACACACACACACACACACACACACACACACACACACACACACACACAGCCCTGATTTCCCTGTTCTTTATCCAAAGAGTATAGAAGACCTAGGTGCTGGAATGCCTTCAGCACCACATCCAGCCCCTACTGTACATCTCACTGTTAATTGGACATCTATTAGCTGTAGTTGCATATGTAAAGGCTTACTGTAGTTTTACAGGAGACAGTGTCAGTGACTTTTCATAAGGTGACCCAAAAAAGAAAAAGAAGCACTCCCTTCCTTCCTGACTGTCTCTCCTAATTTCTGTCTGTCATGCCCAGATAATAGCTGAAGTACCGAGGAGGTCACATGGTTTCTCCTCCTCTCCTCCTTCAGACTGAAGCACGCCTCACTTTCTCGAGAAGACAACCCACTCTAACCAGAGAGAAGTACTCATATCGTAAAAGTAGAAGTACCAGAGTGTAGGAATACTCTGTAGTAAAAGTCCTGCATTCAAAATATAGTTAAAGTACCAAAAGGGAAAGTGGTCCATTTCAGAATAATATATATAATATGTTTTATAATGATTGATCATGAAAGTGTTCTCAAAGCTGGTGAAGGTGCAGCTAGTTTGAATGGCTTTGTATACTGCAGGGTAGCTGGTGGATTTACTCCAGGTGGAACTAAAGTCTGATTCAACACTTGATTATATTTCACATCATTCATCCAAGTTTAATTAAAGGCATCAAATAAATGTAGTGGAGTAAAAGTACACTATTGAGTTCTGAATTGTAGAGGAGTAGAAGTAGCAAAACATTGAAATGGTCAAGGTAAGTAAGTATAAGTACGTCACATTTTACTTAAGTACAGTACTTGAGTATCTACTTAGTTACTTTAGACCACTGACTCTAACCATGATCATCATCAAGTGTGTGAGGGGAACAAGAGTGTGTGTGAGTAAGGGATAGGGGGGGTTACAGGTTAGGAGCAGGTGTGTGTTTTACCTCCACACTTGTCCCAGCTGGAGGATGTGTATGGTGGCTTGCCACAGCCAAATGGTGGCCAGCTGCAGGCGGTCCTTCCCGGGATAAAGGCACCCCAAAGCCACCGCGCCCCTCTTGGTCAGCCCCTCCACCTCACCGAGCCCCCCTCCCGTGTAGTCCTGCACGAACCATCTGAAACTCAGAATCTGGACCAGCACGGAGGGGACCAGCACGAAGAAGAGCGTGAGGCCGAACCAGAGGTAGTCCTGCCTCTGGTAGTACTCCATGGCGAGGCACAAGTCCGTGCCCACGTCCCAGAAGAAGACCAGGAGGGCCAGGATGATCCAGAGGCAGTCCACCCACAGCTGCTCCCTGGGGGGACAGTGGGTCTCGCGGATTCCGACCCCCCCTGGAGCCTGGCCGACGAGGGTCCCGAGGCACGCGGATCGGCAGCCCCAGTAGCACGCGGAGGAGCGGCAGCACATGCAGATGTGAATGGCTGCGGAGTCCAGGTTATCTTCCGCGTCCATGTCGTACAGCTGCGCGAAGCCGCCGCTCCCGCCGCATGCGGCTCCGGCTTTTCCGCCGTCCGACTCCGCGGCCATGTCCCTCTTCCGGCCCTCCTGCGAAATGCACGACAACCGCCCCGTGGTGAGCAGCGAAGGAACACGTTGCGGTCCACCACCAGCAGCATCATCCCTGCTGCATCATCCCGTCCTGCGCGCGGTCATCTATGGCGACGGTGGTGGGCTATGACGTCATGCATCTCCCACTGTGTTTTTTCAGGCGTGTGTGTTTGCGTGCTCCAAAACTCCCAAACTACGTCTAATATAAAGCTTTCCCTGGTTCATATCATCGTTCTCAGGCTGCAGGTCCCGGGTTTCCGCTCCTCTCCTTTCCGCAGGTCCGCTCCTCTGCAGCTCCCCCTCTCTCTCTCTCTCTCTCTCTCTCTCTCTCTCTCCTCCTCACTTTCTCTCTCTCTCACTCCGCCCTCTACCGGATAACAAGCTCAACCCCGTAATCACATCTGCACGCGGGCATGCGCACGTGAACACGCATGAAAACATTAAGGGGATCTTGTACTTATTTGAGGTACTTTTAAGAGGCCATTTTATGCTACTTTTATACTTCTACTCCACTACATTTAAAAGGGAATAATGTCATTTTACTCCACTACATTTATTTAGCAGCTGTAGCTACTTTTACCCTAATGCATTTCTAAAAATGTAACTAGTGGCTTCAAGCCAAAGAGATGCAATTTTCCTGCATAATTACTACTTTACTCATTAGACTTTAAGTACCATTTTCTGATAATACTTATATAAGTAAGATTTGAATGCAGGACTTTTAATTTGACAGTTTTAAAGTATTTTGACAATAATTTAGTGGTACTTTTACTCAAGTAAAGCATCTGAATACTTCTTTCAACACGGTTACTAATTACCTAATCCAATAATCGTTTTTCCGTAACTGTGAGGGAATACAGGTACCTTTTTTAAATCAATAATCCCATTACATGTAATCTGTTACTCCCCAAGCCTGAGAAACAGGATGATTGTTTTCTGAATGAAATCAGCTGTTTCCACTAGAAGAGAAGGAGGAACAATTAGATTTCCACTGTGTGACATTCGTCTCTCCATCAATCATCTCTCTCTCTCTCTCTCTCTCTCTCTCTCTCTCTCTCTCTCTCTCTCTCTCTCTCTCTCTCTCTCTCTCTCTCTCTCTCTGCACTTCCCAAACTCTCCCTTTCTTCCACACAATGTCCATCCACCCTCCATCGTTCCCTCCAGTGGGCCGACTGCCATGTGGCTCTGCCAGCTTAATCAGCCGGAACATGTGTGTGTGTGTGTGTGTGTGTGTGTGTGTGTGTGTGTGTATGTACGTGTGTGTGTGTGTGTGTGTGTGTGTGTGTGTGTGTGTGTGTGTGTGTGTGTGTGTGTGTGTGTGTGTGTGTGTGTGTGTGTGTGTGTGTGTGTGTGTGTGTGTGTGTGTGTGTGTGTGTGTGTGTGTGTGTGTGTGTGTGTGTGTGTGAGAGAGGAAGCTGGAAAGCTGAGAGGCCGTAGATGGTGAAGAGGGATGGATTTAGGAATTAGAGACGGGATGAAAGGGGTGTATGCGAGCGTCGGAGAAAAGATGATTCACTGCTCCCAGGGGTGAGGAGATTGACAGGTAGAATGAAACACAGAGGATGACTGGGAGGTTTAGGGAAGAAAAGGGCGTGACGGAAATAAAAGAGGGCCAAAAGGCACACATTTGAGGGATGGAGCTCCAAACAGGAGAGAGAGATGATTTACTGTAGGATCAGGGACGGGCTGTCATGAAGGGAAGCATACAGGCGACGGGGAAGACAGAAGAGGAATGGGTAGATTTTGCCGTTTTAAGGAGAAGGAAGTCCTTCTAGCTGACCAAATAAGGATTTCTTTTTAGATGATGAAGCTCAGGAAGGGGATTTCAAACTTGGAGGAAGCATGTAAGGATTCGTACCCTTCTTCAGTCAAGATTCCTTATAGAAATGCAATCGCCATTGAATTGAATTGAAGAGGAGATGCACAGGATCATTCACAAACACCTGCATCATCAAACACCCCTTTCCCAAGCATGCTCACACACACACACACACACACACACACACACACACACACACACACACACACACAGAAATATGCAAGCATGTGCACTGCATATATTCACACTTCTCAGAAGCACGTTTTCTGTACATGCTCTTGCACTTTTCTCTCTCTCGTTTCTCTTCTGTCCACTGGAGATTAGCCTCTCTGTTGTCATGACGACGGCGGCTGTGCAGCTGAAGGGCAGGGAGAGGGAGTCGATGGTTGTGTGTGTGTGTGTGTGTGTGTGTGTGTGTGTGTGTGTGTGTGTGTGTGTGTGTGTGTGTGTGTGTATGTGTGTATGTGTGTGGAGAGCTATGGGCTTTCTTCCCCCTGACACTTTGACTTAAGGCTAATATTATATTATTATATATACACCAAATATTACACTTATTACTTTGAAGATGTGTTGTGCTTTTGTCCACAACTGAAAATATTTCATTCTTAAAGTCAAAGTTTCACATTTATACAATTAACCACATTTAAATCCAAACTAAGTTTTGATTTCTCTCTGTTTTTATGATGCTAAATATGCCGCTAAAACCGTCTTGCTGAACTGTAATTGAAGGGAGTTGGCGGTGAGAGAAATATACTTTCAGGCTGTTTTTTGTATTTGAAACTGAGGCTTTTTAGGAGGTTTGGAGTTTATTTTTAGGCACAAAAGAGCAGATAGTGATGATGTTTTGAAGCTGACTTAGTCGCAATGTCCCGTTGAAAATTTCAGAATTAACTTGCCATTTTTTGTCCAAGGATTTCACAGCCTATTATGAGAACAATTATTTAAAGTATGAATGACTTTTTTTGCTCCTCAGGGACGCGATTTTGTGAAGAATTAGGAATAATGCTGAGACTGAAGCCTGATGGGAAGGAGGCTCGCTTTGAATCAAAGGACCTTTCAAGGTCAATGTGCTGCAGGCCTGACTGAGACGAGATGCCCACAACACAGAGTCCACTCAGGTCAAGCAGAATATCATTATTTCTGAAGGGAAAACCCAGCTTGCATTGGTCATGTGTCAAAGGCACTTAGACTCAGTTATTGAGAGGTGAAAAAGGGCCAAAAATCGACAAGAAACTGAAACAATATGTTTGTTTTGGGGAGTGGAGGTTTACTGCAAGTCTGCTTCTGTGCTGCAAGCATATATCACTTCTGCCTCTTCACCATCTGTTTAATTAAGAGTCAGATTGACCAGTGGACAACATTTGGTTTAAACACTTTAAATGATTATATTATTGTGTCTGATATTGGCTCAGCAATACCTTTTTTAAAAAGCATTCATTATGACGTATGTGTGATTTATCAGGCAGCCGTACGCACAGCTCTCTGTTGTTGCTCTGACTCAGAGAGGTTAACGCCGAGCTGCCATCAGATGCCTGATATCATTAATAATCAGCGTGAGCAAGAAGCCACACATGCATCACTCTGGAGACAGTCACCACCAGCCTTATAATATCTTAAACTATAACGTATAACAAAGAAAACAAAATAAGAATACCCAGGATGCAGCAGACTATCAATAAACATTATTTTTATGTTAAAAAAATGAGTAAGATATCAATCAAGTCCTCCTTATATTTAATCAATACACTTTATAATAAACATATCTGTAGATACAATTAGACTGTTTTGAGCGTGTAAAACAATACAAAACATAAATAGGCAGCAAAAAAACTCAAAAAACGACTAAATTATGTCTTGAAAGAGAAATATTCAGTATTTCAGGAAACAAAAACAAGAATGCCCACGAAGCATATGCAGCTGAAACTCAATAAACAACATAATATATAAGTATTTCATGTAAAAATGATGAACATATATCTTTCCCTCCCCCTCTGTGTGGACCTTACAGAAGGTGTGATGTGATATATAGAAGGAGGATCAATAATACGAGTGTTTTTCTGTGTTTATAGAAGGTGGAAAATGTCCTCGGTGACACTGCGAGTGTTGGCCGGCGGTACGACAGACTGTGGTGGGAGTTTGGAGGAGTGAGGCACGCTGCTGCAAACAGTCTGACTCTGAAGGCGATGGAATGCATCAGACTCTACAATCTGCTGCCGTGTAAATATTTTCACACTGATGAGACACTGCGGGGCTGAAAAGCATGTTGGAGAGTAAGGAAAACTGCACTCTTGTAACCTCCATTTGCTCTGGTAGATTTTGAGTTACGACTGTCACGATTCTTGTGTTGTGTCACGTTTTTAGTTTTGTGTGTCTCATAGTGGGTGTTTTGCTGTTCTCCTTGTCATGTTTTCCTCCCTGTGTATTGTCTGGTCTTTCTCCCCGTGTTTTCCTGTCTGTCGTTAGTTTCCCTGGTGTGTCTAATTTCCTGATTGTTTTCCCCTGTCACCCCTTCTGTGTCTCAGTGTCAGCCCCGCCCCTGATTGTTCCCACCTGTGTCTTGTTACCCTGTGTTTAAATTCCCCTGTCTCCCAGTGTGAGTTCGTCTTGTTTCTTGTCATGGTCAGGTCTATGCTCCTTGTCTTTTGCCTTGGTCAGGTCTATGCTCCTTGTCTTTTGCCTTGGTCAGGTCTATGCTCCTTGTCTTTTGCCTTGGTCAGGTCTATGCTCCTTGTCTTTTGCCTTGGTCAGGTCTATGCTCCTTGTCTTTTGCCTTGGTCAGGTCTATGCTCCTTGTCTTTTGCCTTGGTCAGGTCTATGCTCCTTGTCTTTTGCCTTGGTCAGGTCTCTGCTCCTTGTCTTTTGCCTTGGTCAGGTCTATGCTCCTTGTCTTTTGCCTTGGTCAGGTCTATGCTCCTTGTCTTTTGCCTTGGTCAGGTCTATGCTCCTTGTCTTTTGCCTTGGTCAGGTCTATGCTCCTTGTCTTTTGCCTTGGTCAGGTCTATGCTCCTTGTCTTTTGCCTTGGTCAGGTCTATGCTCCTTGTCTTTTGCCTTGGTCAGGTCTATGCTCCTTTGTCTTTTGCCTTGGTCAGGTCTATGCTCCTTGTCTTTTGCCTTGGTCAGGTCTATGCTCCTTGTCTTTTGCCTTGGTCAGATCTATGCTCCTTGTCTTTGCCTTGGTCAGGTCTATGCTCCTTGTCTTTTGCCTTGGTCAGGTCTATGCTCCTTGTCTTTTGCCTTCTTCAGGTCTATGCTCCTTGTCTTTTGCCTTGGTCAGGTCTATGCTCCTTGTCTTTTGCCTTAGTCAGATCTATGCTCCTTGTCTTTTGCCTTGGTCAGGTCTATGGCTTCCTTGTCTTTTGCTTGGTCAGGTCTATGCTCCTTGTCTTTTGCCTTGGTCAGGTCTATGCTCCTTGTCTTTTGCCTTGGTCAGGTCTATGCTCCTTGTCTTTTGCCTTGGTCAGGTCTATGCTCCTTGTCTTTTGCCTTG